GGCAGGTGGGTGTCGGGAGCCTGGTGGGGATATTTTTATTTCCTGACAAAATCCGCCCGCGGAGCAGCTCCGGGAAGCACACGGAGCATTATTTTGGTCTAAACACGGCGGATTGAGGCAAAGGAACACATTAAACACTTCCATGGAGACTCGGGAGAGATGAGGGCTTGGAAAAATCCCGGGATTCAAGCCAGGCTTTTAAACACGTCCTGCCCCGAGATGGGAGGGACGGGCAGGGTCTGGAATTCGGGATACGGGCACATCTTCTCTTCATCGTTAGGGTCTGGATGATCCTGTTAATGGCATTCCCATCATTAATTAATTAACGGAGCTTTGGATGCACGATCCGGAGAGCTCCGGTGTTTTCCCAGGCTCCTCACCAGGCTGCAGCCTCCATCAAATATTCCCTGCTGGAATTTGTCCCGGAGGGATTCGGGGGTGGGGACCCTTCCCCTGCTCCCATTAACCCCCAGCCCGGCACAAATCCCTACAAAACACGGATCTGGCAGCAAAATCCCAGAAAAACAGCGATTCCCTGGACCAGAACCAGCTGGAAATCTTTCCGGAAGATTTTCCACACCCTTGGAACGAGCCCTCCTTGTCTCCTCCCGTGCCCGGCAGCAAATCCCGCTGCTCCTTTCATCCAGGTTTTCCCTTCTCCGCTCTCCCATCCCATGGGATCTCACATCAGAATCTCACCCCAGGGGGAGAATCTCAATCCCAGATTCCCCCCAAACTTTCCCTCCATCCCCGCATCCCCCAGCAGGGAATTTGGTGCCGTGGGATTTGGGATGTGCCCCTTGCAGCAGCAGCTGTGGGTTTGTTTGTTTCCTCCAAAAAAACATAAATATTCCCAGATATTTATATGGGTTGGAAGGAAAGGGAAGACAGAGGGCTGGGATTAATCTGGGAATTGGGTGCCAGAATGAGCAGGGATTGGGGACGATCCAGGCTGGGATCAAACTGGGAATTCACTCCCAGCTGGGTCAGGGATGCTCAAACTGGGATCAAACTGGGAATTCACTCCCAGCAGGGTCAGGGATGCTCGGGCTGGCCGAGGTGCCCGGGATCGATGCCCAGCCCGTCCCCCCCGGCCGAGCCGCGGGCAGCAGAGGCCGCGGGATCAATGCGGGGTGAAGGAATTACGGCTGCGGACGAGCGGCTTTTACGGCTCCTTCCCAACAAAGCCCGGCTTTACGGACTCCCGGTGATTGCCAATTAATTCTGCTGCAGCCCCGGGGCAGGAAGAGCCCAGCTCATTCAGCACAGCCATGAACTGGCTTTTTCCCAGGCCTGGAATGCTGAAATTCCCAGGAATGACCAGTCTGGGAACCCTCAAGCTACCAAAACAGCAAGGAAAAAGCAGCACGGACGGATTTTGGAGTTTTCTCTCCACTCCACCACCTCCACCTTCTCCTCCCTTTCCTTCATCCCACACCCCGAGAAGCTGCGGAGCTGCAGGAGCGAGAGAGAATCCAGACGTCCCCAATTAAGCAATTTCTCCTGGATGAAGGGCCCTGCTCCTGCCGGCTCCGGGAATGGGATTTCCATCAATCCCGGCCTGACGAGCTCCTTGTCACTTAGCACCTCTAATGCTCGCCCCTAATGCCATCAGGGGCTCCTCGGCACGGCCCTAATGCAGTTTCCAGCTCCTGCTGGCGCCTGGGATTCGGCCGGAGCGGGAGAGCGAGCGCATCCCTAATCCGAGGAGACAGTAATGGGAAAACGAGCTGCGGAGCCGCAGGAAAAACGGGAGCGGCATCTCCGGGCCGTGGGAAGCGGCCCCATCCCGGTTTTCAGCGGGTTTGTTCCTTGTTTTCCACATCCCGGGGATCCCCACGCTTTTCTTTCCATGCCCTGACCGTCCAGTTTCCCTTGGGATCATCCCGGTTTTTTCCGGGCTGCATTCCCGGTCTGTTCCCAATCCTAAATTCCCCATCCTCTCCATCCTGGAGATCCCCACACTCCTCTTTCCGTGCCCTCTCCATCCCATTTCCCTTGGGATCATCCCGGTTTTTTCCGGGCTGCATTCCCGGTCTGTTCCCAATCCTAAATTCCCCTTCCTCTCCATCCCAGAGATTCCCAAACCCCTCATTCTTCATTCTGCCCCTCCAGCCCATCTTTCCCTTGGGATTATCCCGGTTTTCTCCCCAGGGCTGCATTCCTGCCCCATTCCCCATCCTCTCCATCCCAGAGATGTCCTTATCCCACTTTCCTTGCTCTGCTCCCTCCAGGCCATCTTTCCCTTGGGATCATCCCGGTTTTCACCCCAGGGCTGCATCCCTGGCCAAACCAAATCCAAATTTTCCCATCCCAGACATCCCCACGTCCCTTTTCCCCTTTTTTTCCTCGCTCTGCCCCTCCAAGCCTTCCCAGTTTTCCCTTGGGATTTTGCTCCGTGCCTTCCTCCATCCCGGGATGCAGCTGAGGAGCCCCTTGGAGCTGGGAACAAATCCCTGTTTTGATTATCCCTGCTCCCAAACGATTCATAATCAGCGTAATTCCATCAGGACAATGACTCCCAAATCAGATTAAATCTCTCCATTTGTCTGGAGCTTTGGCTTCGATCTCTTCCCTCCCTCTTTTCCCATTGATTTTTTTTTTTCCCCCAGCCCAGCCCCTCTGAGCCTTTCCAAGGGTTTTTCCAGCTTGGAATCCTCCAGGCCAGGTGTCCTTTACCATCCACGGGGGTGGGGCAGGCAGGGAATGCAATTCCAGCGCCAAAATTCCCGGGATTTTCCCCAATCCCTGCTGCTGCCTCTAAAACTTCATCGGTGCCGTTCCCGACCATTCCTGGCTGCCCACAGCAAATCCCGCAGGATCGGGAAGTTTGGGAAGTGTTTCCTTATTTTTCCATCACCGTTCCCAGCCATTCCTCATTCCCTGGCTTCCCGCAGGATTGGGAAGTCTGGGCAGTGTTTCCATATTTTCCATCACTATTCCCAACAATCCCTCGTTCCCTGGATTCCCAAAGGATTGGGAAGTGAATCTGGGAAAAGTTTCCATTCCTTTGGCAGACGAAGGGAAGCTGGAAGGAGCAGGGAAGCAGCGGGAAGCTGGGCTGGAGGAGGGAGGGTTGTGTTAATAACACCGATTAATAATGAATAACCCCCTAATGAGCGTTAATTAATTAATAACAACATGTGCTCGAGCCATCGATTCCCAATGAACAGCCCGGCACTGCCAGGAGTCCCCAGCTCCAGCTCGGGAATTCTCCTGGATTTCCCGGCTCTGGAACTGGGAACCGGCCCGGGAATTCTCCTGGATTTCCCTGGCTCTGGAGATGGGAACCAGCTCGGGAATTCTCCTGGATTTCCCTGGCTCTGGAGATGGGACCAGCCCGGGCACGGACGGGACTCATCCCATTTTTCCATAGGAATGTGGCTGGGAAAGGATGGGAAGCATCTCCCACCCCTCAGCGCATCCTAAACCCCTTCCAGCTCTGCCTTGCTCCATGATTTTCCTTAGTCCCGTGTGGAAAATCCTGCTGGAAACTTTTTATTCCTTTATTTTGGGCCACTTTTAGGTGTTTTTTTTCCCTGTGTGATCCCGCCTGGAGCAGGATCCCACCTGTGCATCCCATTCCCTGCAATCCCGGGATGCAGCGATGGATACAGAGCTTTAATCAGCATCTCTCATCAAAAACACTTAATTTGCCTCATTAAAACCCGCCCGTTGGATTCGCGGGATCCAGGAAATGAACGGGAGAGCCTCGGGTTGGGAGAGGTTATAAATAATTCATGGAATGGCTGCGCTTTCCATGGAAAACCGGCTGGGATGGCGAGGAACCGGGATCCCGAGGTGGGGATGGGGCTGGGGGGATCCGAGGTGGCTCCAGGGAAATTCCAGGGATGGGCCTGGTTGAGGGCATGGATGAACCCGAGGAGAGGCTGGAGGGGGTTGGGGAGAGGAAAAGGAAAAGGAAAATGAGAAGGAGAAAGAGGAAAAGGAAAAGGAGAAGGAGAAAGAGGAAAAGGGAAAAGGAAAAGGACCCAGAGGCTGTGTACTGGTTTGTACTGGGAGGACTGGAGCCAGCCACGAAAATTTCCATGGAAGTAAAGCCCAGTTTTCCATCTGGAATTCAGAGGGGCTGGAAAGGGGGCTCTAAAGAGAATTAAAACCAAAAGTGTGGCTGAAACAGGCGGGATTTGAGAATTTGCTGAGCGAGGAGGGGGAGGAACCTTGGGCAGGGAAGCACCCGGCACTGGGACATACTGGGAGCACTGGGGGCCGTGCGTGGGCACGGGGGGAGTGTCTCAGGAGTGGGATCCGAATCCCTGGAATGAGAATTGTCCATCCATGGGGTGGGATGTCCATGTGGGGCATTTGGGATGTCCATGCTGTGGGATTCGGGATGTCCATGCTGTGGGATTTGGGATGTCCACCCTGGGGGATTTGGGATGTCCATCCTGGGGGATTTGGGATGTCCATCCTGGGGAATTCGGGATGTCCATCCCAGGAGAAGCTCACCCATCTGCTCACCCCAGGCCCGTTCCTGCTCCCGGGCTTTGTGGTCGCTGTTCCCGGGCCCCGCCGCTGCGCTGGGCTCGCACTGCCCTCCAGTGGGCACATCCCGCTCCCAGCGCTTCCAGGTGTCCCCTGCCACCTCCCAGGTGTCCCCTGCCACCTCCTGGGCGCTCACTGCCACTTCCCAGCTGTCCCCTGCCACCTCCCAGGTGTCCCCTGCCACCTCCTGGCTGTCCCCTGCCACCTCCTAAGTGTCCCGTGCTACAACCTAGCTGTCCCCTGTACCCCCCAGCTGTCCCCTGCCGCCTCTTGTCTGTCCCCTGTCCTTCCTCCCGGATGTTCCCTGCCACCTCCTAGATGTCCTCTGTCCCCTGTCCCCACTCTGCTGTCCCTTGTCCCCCCAGATGTGATGCACCCCCCCAGATGTGTCCCCGTGGGGGAGTCCCAGCTCCGCCGGGGGTGGCGTAAAGTCCGACTGGGAAGATTTGGGGTGTCCCCAGATGTGTCCCCTCCTCCTGTCCCCCAGCTGCCGCTCACTGCAGGTTCCTCTTCTTGGCCACCTTGAGGGCCACGTTGTCGTAGTCGCTGTCGCCGAGCCACTCCTTGCCCTGCAGCAGGAAGGGCTGGCGCGGCGGGACGCGCCGTTTGGGGACGGCGTAATCATCGCGCTGGGCGTTGTAGGGACACGCGAGCCCGGGGGGCTCCTCGGGGGCCGCCTGCAGCCTCCAGGCCTCGCCCTTCACCTCCTCGGGCTCGTCGTACACCGAGAGCGCCGAGAGCCCCTCGGGCTCGTCGTAGATGTGCTCGGGTTTGGGCGCCGTGGGGCGGCCGGGGGGCTGCTGAGCCCCTCCCGCATCCCTGGTGGCACTCGGGGGTTCGGGGAGCCCCTCTTGGGGACAGCCCAGACCGCCGAACTGGCGGGTCAGGAAGGATTTGGCGATGGTGTCGAAGGGCACGGCGTACTCGGACTCCACCTTGGCAGGCTCGGCTCTCCAGCCCTTGTCCGAGAGCGCGGGCGCGTTCCCGCGGCGCAGGGAATCCAAGGGCTCGGAGTAGGGAAAATCCTCACACCGCGATGGCTGCAGCGACCCTGGGAGCTCCCCAGCTCCGGGGGGCATCCCCGGCTTGCCCTTGACCCCTTTCCCCTCCGCTTTGGGCACCTTGGCCTCCCCAGAGGGGCACTTGGGCTCCTCGTGTGGCCAGCTCGGGGTCCTGGCGTGCTCAAGCGGCCGCGGGGCTTCGTCCCCCCGGCCCCTCTGGAGCTCGATGGCCGCCTCGATGGCCTGGAAGATCTCGTTGCCTTGCCTGGTGTCGAACTCGAAGTTTCCCTCTCCGGAGGCGCAGCGCCGGCCGGCCTCGAACGAGAAGGTGACCTGTGGAGGGCAGGGCTCAGTCCCGACGTGTCCCGGCCACAGCCGCGTCCAGCCCGGCCCTGGCCCGTGTCGCACTGACCTTGTCGCGACCGAAGCGGCGCAGGAAGCGGTAGGGCCAGCGGCACAGCAGCTCCAGGCTCTGCGGCTGCCGCAGCTCCAGGGCATCCTCGGCCGTCCGCAGGATGCAGCGGCCCCGCAGCCGGCAGCGCTGCGAGGATGGTGTCACCCTCACTGTCACCTCAAAGGACTGCTCCAGGCCGGCTGGGGTGGGCAGAGTGGACAGAGTGGACATTGGACACGTGTCACACACTGAAGCAGGGCCAGAGTGACCCCCAAGACCAGAGCCCTGGACACGGCTGGTGCTGGGCACGTGTCCCACCCTGGAGAGTGACCCCCCCCCAGACCAGGACAGCCTGCTCCAGGCCGGCTGGGATGGACAGAGTGGACAGAGTGGACACTGGACACGTGTCCCACACCACAGAAGGGCCAGGGTGACCCCTCCAGCCAGGCCAGCAGTGTCCGGCCGATAAGGGCAGGACAGCTCCGGCCACAGCCGATAGCGCAGCGCCGCAAACCGCGGCAGGAAGAGCAGGAAGAGGCGTTTGGGGAGGAGATTTCCCCGCCCCGCACGGCCCCGGCCCCGCTCAGCCCCGGCCCCGCTCAGCCCCGGCCCCGCTCCCACCTTTGTCCCGGGAGCTGTACAGGGAATTTTCCTCCATGGAGAACTCGCCCTCCGTGCCCAGCGAGCCCTCCTTGGCCACTGCCGGCTCCTCCCGGCTCCTCTGCCCGGGGGGAAGAGCGGCAGGTGAGGGTTCCCATCCATCCATCCCAGTAGATCCCACCTTTCCCAATTTCCCATTATCCCACCCATCCCAGTAGACCCCTCCTTTTCCGATATCCTATTGTGGATCCCACCCATCCCAGTAGATCCCATCTGTCCCAGTGGATCCCATCTATCCCCGTATCCCATTATCCCATCCCCTCCCAGTGAATCCCATCCCCTCCCAGTAAATCCCGCCCACCCCAGTAGATCCCACCTTTCCCATATCCCGTTATCCCATCCATCCCAGCAGATCCCACCTCCCCAGTATCCCGTTATCCCATCTCTCCCAGTAGCTCCCACCTCCCCAATCCCGTTCTCCCACCCATCCCAGTACATCCCAGCCCCCAATCCCGTTCTCCCAGCACGTACTGGGAACGCCAGCTCGCACAGCCGCTGGATCCACTCTGCGGCCTCGGCGCTGTCGGCAGCGAGCAGGAACCTGCGCTCCGTGGTCTCCAGCAGGAAGGGGACAGTGTCCTTGGGACAGGTGGCATCGCCACCCGCCTCGGCCACGTGGACGCAGTCGCTGAGCCGGACCAGGCGCCGGCCGGGCTCGGTTCTGCGCGCCCGCTCCGCGCTCTCCTGCAGCTCCAGGCGCGCCGAGGAGCGGGAGCTGTCCCGGTACAGCACGGCCCAGAACCGCTTCCACTTCTGCGGGGGAATCGTGGTGTTTGTCTTTCCCGGGGCTTTTACCTTTCCCGGGGGTTTTACCTTCCCTGGGGATTTTACCTTCCCAGGATTTTTTACCTTTCCGGAAAGGTTTTACCTTCCCAATTTTTACCTTTCTGGGAGTTTTTTCCTTCCTTGGGGGTATTTACCTTTCCAGGAGGGTTTTTACCTTCCCAGGAGATTTTGACCTCAGGAATTTTTACCTTCCCAAGAGGTTTTTACCCTCCCAGGAGTTTGTATCCTCTTGCCATCACGCAGGAACCCGAGGCAGGACAAGGCTGCAAAGCCCTGCCGGCTCCTGCACCTCCCCCAGGACTGGCTGAAGGTGGAGGTGCCGTAAATTGGGATTTAAAAACCCCTGGATCAACACCCCTGACACCTCAGCCTCACCCGATCCTGTTCCTCATGAGCCCTGAGCCACTTCCAGCTCCTTCTTCCCCTTATTTTCCCTAAAAAAACCCCAAATTTTCAGCTCTGCCCCAAAAGCAGCAGCAGCAGTTCCGGGCTCGGGGAACGTGGGAGGCCCCACAGAGAGGGGAAGTGGGGGCAGGGAAGTCACCCCAAAACCTCCCCAGCACCTCCGGGTTTGCTTTTCCTGAGCAGGATTTTGGGATTCCCGCCGTGGGATTTTGGGATTCCCGCCGTGGGATATTTGGGATTCCTGTCCTGGGATTTTGGGGTCCCTGCTGTGAGGTTTTGGGATTCTTGCCCTGGGATTTTGGGATTCTCGCCCTGGGATTTTGGGATTCCTGCCCTGGGGTTTTGGGATCCTGCCGTGGGGTTTTGGGATTCGTGCCCTGGGATTTTGGGATCCCTGCCCTGGGATTTTGAGGTTCCTGCCGTGGGGTTTTGGGATCCCCTCGGGATTCTCAGGAGGAAGGGAAGGGAGAGGAGCAGGAGACGCCCCTGAGCTCCTTCCCCTCCGCAGCCATTGCCCAACCCCGGCCTTTATCAGCCCAGGAAACCGCGTGGCTTTGGGGGTCACATCTGTCACCCCCCGGCTGGGAATGTCCCCAAATGGGGCTTTGGGGGTCACATCTGTCACCCCCCGGCTGGGAATGTCCCCAAATGGGGCTTTGGGGGTCACATCTGTCACCCCCTAACTCTCCTGGCGGGTCTCTACAAAGTGTCCCCAGCACCTCCTGTCCCGCCACGGTGCCTGAGGGACAGCTGAGCATCCATCGGGTGGGATCACCCCATTCCCATGGGATCACCCCATTCCATGGGATCACCCCATTCCATGGGATCACCCCATTCCCATGGATCACCCCATTCCATGGGATCACCCCATTCCATGGGATCGCCCCATTACCACGGGATCCCCCCCAGCCCCCCGAGCCCCCCTGACCTTCCCGAAGGTTTGCTGGAGCTGCAGGTAAATCCAGCCCTGCTTCACCACCGCCTCCTCCATCCCGGGCTGTCCTGCGTGTCCTGAGTGTCCCCCAGGAGTGTCCCCAGGAGTGTCCGGGGTGTCCCCCGGGGGTCCCCGGGGCCCTGTCCCTCCCCCGGGTGTCACCGGGTCCCGCTCAGCCCGCGCCGAGCTCAGCTCGGGCTCTGCCGCTTCCTCCGCTCGCTGCGGCTTCCGGGGGTGACACGGGGGTGTGGCACTGGGGACACAGGACGGTGTGGCACTGGGGACACGGGGGTGTGGCACTGGGGACACAGGAGGGTGTGGCACTGGGGACACGGGGGTGTGGCACTGGGGACACAGGAGGGTGTGGCACTGGGGACAGGTGAGTGTGGCACTGGGGACACAGGAGGGTGTGGCACTGGGGACAGGTGAGTGTGGCACTGTGGGACGGATGGGTGTGGCACTGTGGGACAGGGGTGTGGCACCGGGGACAGATGGGTGTGGCTCTATGGGACAGGAGGGTGTGGCACTGGGTACAGGTGGGTGTGGCTCTATGGGACAGGAGGGTGTGGCACTGGGTACAGGTGGGTGTGGCACTATGAGACAGATGGGTGTGGCTCTATGGGACAGCAGGGTGTGGCAGTGAGTGACAGATGGGTGTGGCACTGTGTGACAGGCGGGTGTGGCACTGGTGGCACCAGTGGCACTGGGGCCACTGGTATTACTGGAGGCACTGGGGGCACTGGTCATACTGGTGTCAGTGGTCACGCTGGTGACACTGTTGACACTAGGGGCACTGGTGGCACTGAGGGCATTGGTCATACTGGTGTGGGTGGTCCCAGTGGTGACACCGGTGACACTGGAGGCACTGAGGGCACTGCGGACACTGGTCATACTGGTGTCAGTGCTCACACTGGTGGTACTGGGGGCACTGGTGGCACTGATAGCATTGGGGGCACTGGCCGTGCTGGTGTCAGTGCTCACTCTGGTGACATCGGTGACACTGGGGGCACTGGGGTCACTGGGGGTACAGGTCATACTGGTGTCACTGCTCACAGCGGTGACACTGGGGGCACTGGCCGCGCTGGTGTCAGTGCTCACAGCGCTGTCCATGGGGTGCGCGGCCCCTTTAAGGCCGTGTCAACAAACCCCGCTCTCGCCCCTCCCTCGTCCCCCCGCGCCGCTCCGCCGTGCTGACGTCACACGCAGCGCGCCGCGCGCGCACAGGTCGCTCTGTGGGCGTGTCCCGGCGCCGTGCGCAGGCCCGGGGCGAGCGCGGGGGCGCGGTTTGCCCGGTGTGGGCGTGGCCTAAGGCGGCGCGAGCGGAAGCAGAGGCCCGGTTATTGCCATGTGGGCGTGGTTTACTCCATGAGGGCGTGTCCTTGCGGCGCGCGCGTGCGCGGCAGGGGCGGGGGCGCGGCGCGGCGCATGCGCGGTGCGGGCGGCGGCGCGGGGGGACGCGGTGGCGCCGGGCCCGGCGCAGGCGGGGGCGGAGGCGCGAGCGGAGCATGAATGGGGCAAGATGGCGGATCATGTGCAGGTGAGCTCCGGCCGCAGCGCGGGGCTCGCCCGGGCCCGCCCGCCGCCCTCCCGGCACCCCCGCGCCGCCCCCCGGCCCGCGCGGCCGAGCCCCGCACGGCCAGGCCCGGCCAGGCCCGGCGCGGCCCAGGCGCGCAGGCCGCGCTCGCCGGGGAGGTGGCGCTGCCAGCGCGGTGACCCCGTGGCCCTTTGGGTGTCCCCGTGTCCCCTCCGGGGGTCCCCCCGCTCCGCCGTGTCCGCCTCGTGTCCCCGTGTCGTGTCCCTGTGTCCCTCCCGGTGTCCCCCCAGATCCCGGTGCTCTCTCTGCCGCAGCCGCTCTGGGGTCCCGGGGAGGAAATGTTTGGGAAAAGCTCGCTCAGATCCCGTTTTTCCCCTTGGAAGCCGCAGCCGGGTCTGCGCTGTCACCCCCCGTCCGTGCTCCTGTCACCCGGGGGCCTTGGGGGATCCGCTGCCTGATCCCAGGGCTGGGATTCGCGTTCTTGTGAGGATCTTTGGGATTCTCGGCTCAGTTCCGTTCATTCCCAGCCCTGTTTGGGTTTCTTTCCCAGCCAGGTTCTGTTCCTTTCCCAGCCGTGTGGTCACTCCAGTTTGGGGGAAGGTTTTTCATGGGTGTTTAAAGGGAATCCCAGAGTGCAAAAGTTCGTGGGGCAGGAGCCAGGAGGGAAATCAGAGATGGAAAGATTCCAGGATGGAATGGAAAGACAAAACCCCTGGGAAAGGGCCCCAAAACCGCTGGGAAAGGGACCTAAAACCCTCCAAGTGGGACCAAAACCAAGGGCCCAAACCCTGTGAGAGTGACCCCAAGCCCTCTGAAAGTGACCCTAGACTCTTCGAAATTGACCCCAAATCCCCTGAAATTGACCCCAAGTCCCTTGAAATTGACCCCAAGTCCCCTGAAATTGACCCCAAATCCCCGAGCAGCCGCCCCTGGCACCGTCAGGAGCAACAAAACCCAAACCCTGGCACAGCCCGGGGGGATTTTCCCAAAGATTTCGGTGGATTTGGGATTTGCACAGAGCCCAAAAACTGGGATAAGCTGGAATTCCCAGGAGTTATTTATTACCCCTGGAACTTTGGGAATAAATCAATCCCGGCAGGCACGAGGCTGAGCAGTTCATTAACTCGGGAATGGCGCTGGGAAAAGAGGAATTGCTGGATTATTCACGGAGAAAAATCCCGATTTTTTCCTTGGAATTCGGCTGCAAATCCGGGATTTCCCGTGTTAAATCTCGGATTGGGAGAGGTGGAAATGGGAAAAGCCGAGGTGGAAATGGGAAAAGTCGGAGGTGGAGGGGTTGGGAATGCTGAGCTCAGCGGGGTTAAAGTTTAACAGAAGAACTTTGGGAAGTTCCAGGGCTGGAAAAGGGATTTGGGAACTCGGAGCCATTCTGGGAATTCCTCTCTGGAGCTGGATGAGGTTTGGGAGAAAGGATTGGGATGGGAGAGAGGAGGTTTGGATGGGATTTTGGGAAGAAATGATTCCAGGTTATCCCAAACTGGCCTTGGAAGTTTCCAGGGATCCTCAGCTTCTCTGGGAATTCCATCCCATCCCCAAAAATCCCATTTAAATCTCATTTTTCCCATGGGAAGCATTCCCTGTGTCCTGTCCCTCCATCCCAAATCCCTCTCCTGGAGCCTCTTTAGGCTCCAAATTTTGCCTGGAATTTCCTTTTTCCAGGAGAACATTCCCAGCAATCCCAGAGGGTTTTTTTTCATGGAATATTCTGATCCCAGAGGTGTTTTTATGGAATATTCTTTGGGAATGGATCTTTAACAGGAACAGGGATTTTGGGATTAAATCCCAGCTGTGTTGGAGAAGTTGGGAAAATTCCCAGAGGAATTTCTGGAATTGTGGTGGAGCCCAAATCCATTTTTAGGGATTTGTACCTGGTCTGCTGGAGCCCAGAAAGATTTTTTTTTTCCATGGATTTTATTTGATGTGATGAAGCCTGAATTAATTTTATTTATGGATTTTTCCTGATGTGCTGGAGCCCAAAAAGATTTTTTTTACAGATTTTTCCCGGAGTGATGAAGCCCAAATCCATTTTTAGGGGATTTTTCCCAAAAGATTTTTTTAATGGATTTTTCCTGGTGTGACAAAGCCCTCAAAAACTTTTGTGGATTTTTCCTGGAGTGGGTGAAGCCCAAATCCAATTTTTTGTGGATTTTTTTTTCCTGGAGTGAAGAAGCCTCCCAAAAATTTCTGGATCTTACCTGGAATGCTGAAGCCCAATTCCATTTTTCCATGGATTTTTCCAAGAGTGATGAAGCCCAAATTAATTCCTGATGGATTTTTCCTGGCCTGAAGAATTCCCAATCCCCTTTTTTTATGGATTCTACCTGATTTTCATCCCAAAAAATCCCAAATTCTGGGAATTGCGACCGATCCCTCTGGATTTTTGGTGGGAATTTTGCCCTCAGAGTTTGGAATGAAGATTTTGGAATTTTCCAATTTTTTTTTTTCTCCTTGGAGCAGAATTGAGGGGACCATAAATCCAATTTTTTTCCCCTTTGGAAGCAGAATTTTCCCAGTTTTTCCTTTTAATTCCACTTCTGGAAGTATTTTCCTTAAAGTGGGAGGGAATTCCCTGGGAATTTCCTGTCTGGGATAATGATGGATTTGGGAAATCTTGCAATGATTAAAAAAAATTATCATTTCCATGTTTTTGGTTGGCTGGAAGGAAATTTGGGATTTTGGGAGAAGGACCAGGATGTCCTGAGAGTGGAAATTTGGGGTCCTGGAAATGGAAATTTGGGAAATTTGGGATCCTGGGATGTCCTGGAAGTGGAAATTGCTCTGGTTAATTAGGATTCAATTAATTAGGAAGAAAACAAAGAGAATTTGTTGGTGAGAATTCCATGAAAAATAAATAAAATTTATAAATAATAAAATAATTTTATTTCTAATTTATTCTTAATAACATAATTTTTATACTCAAATGGAAATGATGGATGGAAACTCCCAAAATTTTGGAAATTTGGTGGAAATTATGGAAAACTCCCCCAAATTTTTTTGGGATTTCCCTCAGAGCTGCTCTCCTGGGATTTGGGGTTTTTTCCTTTCCCAAGGAATCCTGTGGGGAAAGAAAAAAAATTAGGAATTGCCAGGACTTCAAAATCAGGGATTTATTCCTGGAGAATTCTTTGCTTTTCCTGGGATTTTTTTTTTCTTGGCTTTAATTCCCAGAATTAAAGGGAATTTAATTTAATTCCCATAATTAAATTAATTAATTTAATTCCCACGGTGTCCCTGTGAGCGAACTGGGATTGTTCCCGATTTCTGCTGGGTTTTTTTGGGAATTTTATCCCAGTTTTCCCTGAGGGAGTTAATTCCCAGGATCCATGGGAAGGCTGGCACGGAGCAGGCACAAACAAAAGGATTTCTGTCCCTGCCAGCAGCACAAATTCCAGGCAGGAATTCTGGGAATTGTTTCCTGGGAAGTGGGAAGGGAACTGATTCCAGGGAAAACCTCATTCCTGCAAAATTCCTTAAAATTCCTGCAAAATTCCTGGAAAAATCCCGGTAAATTCTGACAAAATTCCCATAAATTCTTGAAAAATTCCTGTAAAAATCCCGGTAAATTCTGACAAAATTCCTATAAATTCCTGCAAAATTCCTGTAAAAATCCCGGTAAATTCTGACAAAATTCCTATAAATTCCTGCAAAATTCCCTGTGAATTCCTACAAAATTCCTGCAAAATTCCTATAGATTCCTACAAAATTCCATTGAATTCCTGCAAAATCCCTGTGGATTCCTTCACAGCTCTTGTGAATTCCTACAGAATCCCTTTAAAATTCCTGCAAAATTCTCTGGGAATTCCTGCGAAATGAAAAGGGAGGAGAAAGGAAAAGAAAAGGGAAAGGAAGGGAAAAAGAAAAGCAGAAAGAAAAATATAAAGGGAAAAGAAAAAGGAAAAAACAGAAGTTCCAGCCTGTCCAGTGGGTGTGCCTGTGCTGATTCCCACATTTTTCCACGTTTTCATGTGCATATTTTCCCACATTTTCCCCACGTTTTTCCCTGTTTTCCTGTGCATATTTTCCCACATTTTTCCCTGTTTTCCTGTGCACATTTCCCCACATTTTCCCCTGTTTTCCCGTGCACGTTTCCCCACGTTTCCCCACATTTTTCCCTGTTTTCCCGTGCACGTTTCCCCGCGTTTCCCCACATTTTTCCCTGTTTTCCTGTGCACGTTTCCCCACGTTTTCCCACATTTTTCCCTGTTTTTCCCCCGGCAGAGCCTGGCCCAGCTGGAGAACCTGTGCAAGCAGCTCTATGAGACCACGGACACGGGCACGCGCCTGCAGGCTGAGAAAGCCCTGGTGGAGTTCACCAACAGCCCCGAGTGTCTGAGCAAGTGCCAGCTGCTGCTGGAGAGAGGCAGCGTGAGTACAGCCCCAAAAATTCCCAAATATCCCCCAAAATCCTGGGATTCCACATCCCAAAATTCCCCTAAAAACGTGGAATCAATAGGAGCCAACAGCTCTGAGTGTCTGAGCAATCGCCAGCTGCTGCTGGAGAGAGGCAGCGTGAGTACATTCCCAAAAAATTCCCTAAAAATATGGAATTGCACAGTCCACAATTCCCTGAAAACATGGAATTCCACAGCTCAAACATTCTCCAAAATCATGGAATTCCACATCCCAAAATTCCCCCAAAATCATGGAATCAGTAGGAGCCAACAGCCCCGAGTGTCTGAGCAAGTGCCAGCTGCTGCTGGAGAGAGGCAGCGTGAGTACATTCCCAAAAAGCCACCAAAATACTGGAATTACACAGCCCAAAAATCCCCCAAAATCCTGGAATTCCACAGCCCACAATTCCCTAAAACCATGGGATTCCACATCCCAAAAATCCCCCAAAATCATGGAATCAATAGGAGCCAGCAGTCTTGAGTGTCTGAGCAATCCCCAGCTGCTGCTGGAGAGAGGCAGCGTGAGTACAGCCCCAAAAATTCCCTAAAAATATGGAATTGCACAGCTGAAACATTCCCCAAAATCCTGGAATTGCACAGCCCAAAAATCCCTCCAAAACATGGAATTGCACAGTGCCACAATTCTCTAAAAACGTGGAATTACACAGCCCAAACATTCCCCAAAAACATGGAAATTACACAGTCCAAAGTTCCCCCAAAATCCCAGAATTCCACAGCCCAAACATACCCAAAAATCCCCAAAGTCATGGAATTCCACAGCCCAAAACTTCCCCAAAAAAACCCTGGAATTCCAAGGATTGATAAAGGAATTGTGATGATGCCCCCGATCTTGTAAATTCCAGCAAAATCCCTGTAAACTCCCATAAATTCCTGTAAAAACTTGGGGATTCATCCTAGAACTGTTGCAATTTTTGGTATTAAAAATTCCTGTAAAAATCCTGTAAAATCTCTGTAAATTCCTTATAAATTTCCTGTAAAAACTCGGGAATTCATCCCACAATTGTCACAATTTTTTGGACGCGCCTCACCCGCCGAGTCGGGATCTACATCCCAATAAATTTCCCGCCTTCACCTCCAACTTCCAGCCTGCAATTCCCAATCTGTTTGCACTCCATGAATATTAAAAATTCCGTAATATTTTACTTTTTTTTTTTCTTTGGAATTTTTTTTCCCTGTTTTCCCAGTCCTCCTACTCGCAGTTGCTGGCTGCCACCTGCCTTACCAAGCTGGTGTCCCGCACCAACAACCCCCTGCCCCTGGAGCAGCGCGTCGACATCCGTGAGTATGGGGATAGCCCCGGAAATCCTGGGAATTTGCCTCAAAAAAATCTTGGGAATTCTTCACTAAAATCCTGGGAATTCTTCCAAAAAATCTTGGGAGTTCGTCACAAAAAATCCTGGGAGTTTTTCACAGAAAATCCTGGGAGTTCGTCACAAAAATTCTGGGAATTCTTCACAAAAATCCTGAGAGTTCTTCCCAAAAATCACAGGAGTTCTTCATAAAAATTGCAGGAGTTCTTCCCAAAAATCCTGGGAATTCTTCACAAAAAACCCTGGGAATTCTCCTCAAAAATCCTGGGAATTCTTCACAAAAATCCCAGGAATTCTTCCAAAAAATCCTGGGAGTTCTTCACAAAAAATCTGGGAATTCTTCGCAAAAATCTTGGGAATTCTCCTCAAAAAATCTTGGGAGTTCTTCCCAAAAAATCCTGGGAATTCTTCCCAAAAATCCTGGGGATTCTTCCCAAAAATCCCAGGAATTCTGCTCCCATTCCATGGGGGGAGGCTCCTGAATCCCCTGGGAATTCCCTTTGGAATATTTTGGGGTTATTATGGGAGGTTTTGGCAGAGTTCAGGGATGAATATCCAGAATTTTTTGGGATCAGAGGGAATGGCAGCTCCGTGGTTTTGGGAATGAACCACTTGGAAAATTTTCCGATTTTCCTTGGAACGTCCAAATTTTCCAAGGATGTGGTGGAGACAGAAAGTGTCTGGAATATTATTGGGATTTGGGATCCTTTTTCCAGACTAATTCCAGCTCTAAATCCAATCTTTTTTGAGATTAATTCCAGGTCTAAATTCAGCCTTTTTCCAGATTAATTCCAGCTCTAAATCCAGCCCTTTCCCAGGTTTATTCCAGGGCTTAATCCAACCCTATCCCAGCTCTAAAACCTTTTCCAGGTCTATTCCAGCTCTAAATCCAAACCTTTCCCAGCTCTGAATCCAGCCCTTTCCCAGGTTAATTCCAGCTCTGAATCCAGCCCTTTCCCAGGTTAATTCCAGCTTTGAATCCAACCCTTTCCCAGGTTAATTCCAGCTCTAAATCCAACCCTTTCCCAGCATCCTAAATCCCCAAATAAACCCCAACATTTCCCTCTTATTCGCGCCGTTTCTTCCAACCTCCCTGAATTCATTCCCTCAAACCAACCTCCCCAGATCTCCTTTTCCCGTTGGGTTTTTGTGTCCAGCTCCATTTTTCCCATTTTTTTTTTTTTTCCCAGGGAATTACGTGCTCAACTACCTGGCCACTCGGCCCAAGCTGGCGACGTTCGTGACGCAGGCGCTGATCCAGCTCTACGCCAGGATCACCAAGCTGGGCTGGTTCGACTGCCAGAAGGACGAGTACGTCTTCAGGAATGTCATCAACGATGTCACCAGGTTCCTGCAGGTCAGATCCCCCAGAATTCCCAGGATTCGCCAAAATTTGGGAATTTTCAGTTGGCCTGAAGGAGTTCGGGCGCTTTCGTNCCAACCTCCCTGAATTCATTCCCTCAAACCAACCTCCCCAGATCTCCTTTTCCCGTTGGGTTTTTGTGTCCAGCTCCATTTTTCCCATTTTTTTTTTTTTTTCCAGGGAATTACGTGCTCAACTACCTGGCCACTCGGCCCAAGCTGGCGACGTTCGTGACGCAGGCGCTGATCCAGCTCTACGCCAGGATCACCAAGCTGGGCTGGTTCGACTGCCAGAAGGACGAGTACGTCTTCAGGAATGTCATCAACGATGTCACCAGGTTCCTGCAGGTCAGATCCCCCAGAATTCCCAGGATTCGCCAAAATTTGGGAATTTTCAGTTGGCCTGAAGGAGTTCGGGCGCTTTCGTGGCGGTGATTTCAGCTGGGGATTGCCAGGGTGAAGAGATCCTGAAAAATCAGGGAATTGTTCCTGGATAATCTCACCTTTACACCAGGTTGCTGCAGGTCAGATCCTTCCTCAGAATTCCCAGGATTCGCCAAAATTTGGGAATTTTCAGGTGGCCTGAAGGAGTTTGGGCTCTGTTTTCAGCTGGGGATTCCCAGGGTGAAGAGATCCTGAAAATTCAGGGAATTTTTCCTGGGAGCTGGGAATTGTTCCTGGGTGTTCCCAGCTTTAGGATCCATCTTTTCCAAACTCAAATTCACCCCATGGATATTCCTGAGATTTCTTTCAACAACCTCCCAAAACCTCCTTTTTTGTTGGGTTTGTTTTTGGTTTTTTTTGCTTTGTTTTGTTTGGGTTTTGTTTTGGTTTTTTTTTTTTGGTTGTTTGTTTCTGTTTGGGGTTTTTTTGTTTCTGGGTTTTTTTTGTTTGGGTTTTTTTTTTTAATAAGGATCATTAAATTCTTTCTAGCCAAGAACTTATCCAAAAAAAAATTTTAAAAAAGGGGAATTTTTCCCCAAACAAAGCTGTGCCTTTGCCTCCCCAGGACAGTGTAGAGCACTGCATCATAGGAGTGACAATCCTGTCCCAACTAACGAATGAAATTAATCAAGTAAGTGCTACAGCCTTCCTCAGTGAAGTAAGTGTCCAATTTTCTCATTCATATTGTTGTGTCCTGCCTTTTCTGGGGTTATTTTTTGGGGAATTTCGCTGTCTGGGGAGGGATTTTTGGGGTTTTATTCGGTTTTTTTTTGTTTTTTCTGGTGGTTGTTTTGCACTCCCTGTTTGTGGTGAGGTGCTGGGAGCTCCAGTCTCGAGGGGTTGTTTTGTTTCCTTGGTGTTTTCCATCTTTTCCCATGGTTTTGGTGTGGTTTTCTGGGATAAGAAAGGGGGAAAAAAATAAGGAATTCTTGAGTGGGGATGAGTGGAAGGAATTTTCTGTTGTCAGCTCTTTGTATTGACCAAGGATCCAGGGGCTGGTCCAGGATTGGAATTGATCCCATAAATCCAACCTGGATAATTCCTTCCAGTTCCATTGCCTTTGGAACTGGGAATTCCCATACCTGAAATCCCCCCCCAAAAAAAAAAATTCCTGCTGATTTGGGCAGAGATTGAAGAGAAACAAGGAATAAATTGGGAATAAACCCAGGAATTAAACCCCAGGAATGGGATTTATCCATGGAAAAACCTTGGGGTTGGGATCCAGTGGCTGATCCACAGTTGATCCCATAAATCCAACCTGGGTAATTCCAGTTCCATTCCTTTTGGAGCTGGGAATTCCTATCCCTAAAATCCCAAAAAAAAGATTTTTGCTGGTTTGGGCAAAGATTGAAGAGAACTGAGGAATAAGTTGGGAATGAAACCCCAGGAATGGGATTTATTAATGGAAAAGCATCCCTAAAATCCCAAAAAAACAAAAGGATTTTGCAGCTGATTTGGGGCAACGATTACAGTGCAAAGAGGAATAAATTGGGAATAAAACCCCAGGAATGGGATTTATCCATGGAGAACCTGTGGGGTTGGGATCAGTGGGTGTGGGGGACGTTTCCTGGGGTTCCTGCTGCATTTCCTGGGGTTCATCCTGCATTTCCTCCTGCATTTTCTGGGGTTCCTGCTGCTTTTCCTGCTGCTTTTCCTGGGGTTCCTCCTGCATTTCCTGGGATTCCTGCTGCATTTCCTGGGGTTCCTCCTGCATTTTCTGCTGCATTTCCTGGGGTTCCTGCTGCTTTTCCTGGGGTTCCTGCCCCATTCCCAAGCTCTGATCCCATTTCTCTCCCTGGGCAGGCTGACACGAGCCACCCCCTGACCAAGCACAGGAAAATCGCCTCGTCCTTCCGCGACTCCTCGCTCTTCGACATCTTCACCCTGTCCTGCAGCCTGCTCAAACAGGTGTGGCCCATGGGGATGGGATTTGGGGAATTTGGGATATTTTTGATGTTTTCACCCTGTCCTGCAGCCTGCTCAAACAGGTGTGGCCCATGGGGATGGGATTGGGGGAATTTGGGATATTTTTGATGTTTTCACCCTGTCCTGCAGCCTGCTCAAACAGGTGTGGGCAGTGGGGATGGGATTGGGGGAATTTGGGTTTTTGGGGATGGGGTTGGGATGGAATTCCTGCCTGGAATTCACTTAGAATGAAACCATCACCTTGGATGAATTAGAGAAATTTTTCTTTTTATAGTAATAAAAAGTGTTGCATATGTAGTGTATATATATATGTGTGTATATATATGTATACATGTATATATATGTATGTATATATATATACACATAGTGTATATATAGTCTATATATGTAGTATATACTATATATAGTGTGTATATATGTACATAGTATATGTGTTTATATAATATGTGTACAATGTGTGTATATGTATATTTTATATATATTATTGTGTTTATAATATTGATAAATAGATTAGAAAAAAAAAATCAATAGGTATTATTTCAAATAAAAAACCCTAAAGGGGATTTGTGTTTAACATTTTTGAGAATTCCATGATTTCCTGGATCCCTCAATCCTGTGCATTCCAGGGAGAAAAATGGGAATGCTGCCTGATATCCTTGTGCTGAAAACACTCTGGAAAATTCCATTTTTGCACCTTTAAAACAACACCTGGTGTTCATCCCAAAGCCCCGTCCAGCTTCAAATAAAACCCTACCTCAACCCAGCATCCCCCTGGCTTCATTTCCCCCCTTTTTTCCTTGCCTTAATTCCCTGTTTTCTGCAGGCTTCTGGGAAGAACCTGAACCTGAACGACGAGAGCCAGCACGGGCTGCTGATGCAGCTGCTCAAGCTCACCCACAACTGCCTGAACTTCGACTTCATCGGCACCTCCACGGACGAGTCCTCGGATGATCTGTGCACCGTGCAGATCCCCACCAGCTGGAGATCAGGTGAGGCTGCAGGAGCTGCCACATCCCAGCTGGGAAACGCTCAGATCCTGGCATTTTCCAGAAATAAATCCCCCAGGGCGTGTAAAGCCAGAGGTGAAACTCAGCGCTGAACTCGCCTCGTTTATTTTTGGGGGATTTTTGTTTGTTTTTCCCTTCCGGTTTTTCATCTTTTGTTCCAACAACCAGGAAAAATTGATCCAAAAAAATGAGAGAATAACTTGGCACCTTTTT